TTCTTGTTGGTAATATATACTGTATGCGTACGCTTTACATCCAAACTCTGATGTGCCCTATTCTACGCTTAGATCAATGCCACATTTCAAATAAGGTTCTTTCAACAGCTTTTGAAGGTAGTCTGTACTGTAGGTATGTTGCAGTCATGACTGCTTCTCCCCAGTACTCCTTAGGTAGGTTAGCATCTGGCAGCATGCATCTGGCCATTTCTATAAGAGTGCAATTTTTCCATTCTGCTACCCCATTTTGTTCAGGAGTGTACGGTGTGTTTGTCTGGTGTACTATACCTTGTTTCTTCATATATGATTTCACTTCCTTACTGATGTATTCCCCATTGTAGTTGGTGCGTATAATTCCTGGTTTCCATTGGAATTTGTTACTGGACATGCCTATAAACTCTTTATGTTTTTCTGATGATTCATACTTGTGCTTCATCAGATAGGTTTTTGTGTACCTGGAATAATCATCAATGAAAGTCAGTAGATATCTGTTTCTGCCTGATATGGGAGTTTTCATTGGTCCGCACATGTCACTGTGTACGAGCTTCAGGGGGTGGGGTTTCTTTCAGTGGCCTGTGGAAGTGGGGTACGTGTGGCCTTTGCTTCCAAACAGTATTTGCATGTCATGAGCATTTGGCAGGGCAGTATGGTTATATCTTCTGATCAGCCTCTCTTTATAATATCTTTTAAGGCTTCTGGGTTTTGGTGCCCTAGTCGTCTGTGCCATAGGTGGATACATTTTTTGTGTGGATTATGAGTGGCTGTCTTGTCTTGTTCGTCTGCGGTGATGAGTCTGTACAGGTGTTCATCCAATTTTCCTTTTTCAAGGATTTGCTTATTGTTTTAGATTGTACATTTATCGCCTCGGAAAAGAACTGTGAGACCATTATTAGCAAGGGTTTTCACTGATAGAAGGCTTCCTTCTAGATCTGGGATATACAGTACAGTACAATTTTGACGAGGGTACTCTGCTTGTCCCCTGACGGTGTGATGCAGTTCAAGAATCCTGGCCCTTTAACTTCTGCAGTAATACTTTTCCCGTTTGCTATTAAAACTTTGTCCTTAACACTGAAATCAATTTCTCTGAAAAAGGTCTCATCACTAGTCATGTGGCTTGTTGCAACTGAGTAAATACACTATCCCTATGGTATACTGTTCTGAATTACATTAAAGGTAACGCTCCATGATGTGCTTGCAGTTGCCCTTGTGGCTGCCAATAACTATTTATTTTGTAGGTGTCTCTTGCTTTTTGCCCTCTCATGCACCTTAAGTGATTTCTCATTTTCTTCATTGTGCACATTTTCTTTCCTTCTGCCATACTCATTGATTAATTTTCCTTTGGCCTGCTCGGGTCTGGTTTCCAGAGCATTAATAAGAGTACTGTATGACTCTGTAAGGCTGCATAGCAGTAATATCACCACGTGGTTGTCTTTCATTTCCTCTCCAATTGCACGTAGCTGTTCTATGATATCATTATCCAGCATTGCATTCACATGTTCACGCATTTCCTGGCCTTTTTTCTAGCCTCATCTTATATAGCTTGTGTAGGAAATATAGTTTATTGTTTAGGTTTTGCAGTTTTTGTAATGCAATTCACATACCTTTAGCTGTATTCTCTTTTCTGATGTGGATGAGCTGGTTATCTTCCACAAGCAGAATAATAATTGCTTTTGCTTGCCTGTTCTTCTTGTCCCATTCCTCAGTGGATTCATTAGTAGGTCTGTCTGTACTCAATACTTGCCACAAGTCGTCTTTGCTTAGCAGCATTTCAAGCTTGAACTTCCATAGCTGGTATTTGCTTTTGTTGAGCTTTGTGATTGCAAACTTCACATCTGAAGTACTTGCCATCTTTCAGTAGCTTGGATGCAGCACTTGTTGACTTGCAGTATTCTGTTTATTGCCTGGCCCATATCCTGTTGGTTATATGTTTAGATGAAGCACTGAGATCTTAAGGAATGCTGAACGAAGGTTTACTTGCTTAGAAAAATGTTACATGTATGTATACGGCCAGTGGAGTCAGTCCTGCGCCCGGGGCAAGTGCCCCCCCGGTTGTTACGCCACTGTATACAGCATTGACCAGGAAAACGTATATATAGAAAAAATTGCTTCATGTGTATCATAAATAGGCATGCACATAGAGAGTAATATCACACTACACTGCCAGCTACAGCTCAAAAGACATATTACAGAGGTAATATCAGTACATTAGAATATGCTTTTGCATTTCTAACAAAGCATCTCTGTGTGTCCTGTGACTCCAGTGACCCCTGAGCATCCTGTATCATTGTGTGACACCGGACCACTCCTGCCTGCCCTGTAACTCCAGTGACACCTGGGCATCCTGTGTCATCTTGTGAACCCAGAGCACCCCTGTGTGCCCTGTAACTCCAGTCACCTATGAGCATCCTGTGTCTTCCTGTGACCCCAGAGCACCCCTTTGTGCTGTTACTCCAGTGACCCCTGAGCATCATGTGTCATTCTGTGACCCCAAAGTATCCCTGTGTGCCCTATTACACCAGTAACCACTAAGCATACTGAAGGGAATTTATCAAAACTGGAGCAGACAGATTCTGGAGCAGTTGTGCATGGCAACCAATCAGCTTCTCTCTTCAGTTTGTCCAGTTCAGATGTGAAAATGAAAACGAGAAGCTGATTGGTTGCCATGTACAGCTGCTCCAGATTTTGTCGGCTCCAGTTTTGATAAATTCCCCTCACTGTGTCTTCCTGTGACCCCAGAGCGTCCCTTTGTGCCCTGTTAATCTAGTGACTCCTGAGCATCCTGTGACCACATATTATTCCTGTGTCCCCTGTTACTCCAGTGACCCCTGAGAATCCAGTTCCCCAGAGCATCCCTGTGTGCCCTGTTCTCCAGTTACCCTTAAGCAGTTTGTGTCATCCTGTGAGCCCAGAGTGTCCCCGTGCACTCTGTTCTCCAGTGACCCCTGAGCATTCTGTGTCATCCTGTGACCCCAGAGCATCCCCGTGTGCCATGTTACTCCAGTGACCCCAGAGCATCCCTGTGTATCCTGTTACTCCAGTGACTCTGAGCATCCTGTCATCATGTGACCCCAAAGCATCCCTTTGTGCCCTGTGACTCCAGTGACCCCTAAGCATCCTGTGTCATCCTGTGACCCCAAAGTTTTCCTGTATGCCCTGTTATTTCAGTGACCCCTGAGCATCCTGTGTCATCCAGCAACTCCTAATGCACCCTGTGTGCCTCTGTGAACCCTGTGCCTTTACACAGTGCCTGGAACACTCCAAAGTTGTATGGTCTGTTATGCTCTACCATTAGTACCCTCTCCTACTTCTCTACGCTCAGACACATTCCTTTAATCATCCAGACTGTCCTTTTCTCAGCAGATTCGGATCCCTGTCCATGACAAGCTGTGGCTGGATGCAGTACCCTACAATGTGTAGACAGAAATTCAGCTCCACATAGGAAAATTTCGCTCTTTAAGACTACATTTTTTCTCAAATACCTTCAGTTATGGTATATACAAAATATCTTTGACTGTTATGACCTGTCTCTGTATGTAAACCAAGCTGTAATTTTGGTGCTACTAGCAACCCACCTAAAGCTTAACTATGTTGTTACATCTCTTAGGGGATACACAGCAAGTTCGCTCTTTTCCAGGACACCCAGCTGTCTATCTGCATGGTAACCTCTTTTTTTTTTCTTTAGGAAACTGTATATGGCAGTTGTAATGAATATGATAACTTCCTTCTTAAAATGCCAGCTGCCTGACTGTTTCTGACCTCAGTACTTGCATGCAGCAAGTGATGTCAGAATCCATGTATACTGAAGCCTCGGCACCACCATAACAGCCAGGCAACTAACATTTGTAAGAGTTCAACAACGGAAAGCTATTTATTTTCTAATGTAGATTTAATTTAACACATGGGGAAAAGTTAAAGGTATACTGTACACTCTGCTCTAGTGTATTCTAAATTTGCACACACACATGTATACAGGTGAAACTCGAATAATTAGAATATCGTGCAAAGTTCATTTATTTCACTAATGTAACTTAAAAGGTGAAACTAATATATGAGAGAGACTCATTACATGCAAAGCAAGATAATTCAAGCCGTGATTTGTCATAATTGTGATGATTATGGCTTACAGCTCATGAAAACCCCAAGAACCCCAAATCCACAACCTCAAAAAAGTAGATTATTACATGCAATCAATAAAACAAGGATTGTACATAGAACAATTATCGGACCTCTGAAAAGTACAAGCATGCATATGTACTCAGTACTTGGTTTGGGCCCCTTTTGCAGGACTTACTGCAATTACTTTTGCATGATATTCTAATTATTGGAGTTTCACCTGTATATAATGTAAAATGTGCACTGGGATTGATTTACCAATGAACATTTTCACTTTGCCTAGTTCACTTTGAACACTCAATCATGTACAGAGAAATGTAAAAAAAATTAGGAAATTCCTATATATACAGTTGAAACTCGAAAAATTAGATTATCGTGCAAAAGTTAATTTATTTCACTAATGCAACTTAAAACGTGAAACTAATATATGAGATAGACTCATTACATGCAAAGCAAGATAGTTCAAGCCGTGATTTGTCATAATTGTGATGATTATGGCTTACAGCTCATGAAAACCCAGATCCACAATTTCAGAAAATTTTTGGCAGTGTGGGCAGGTGCCAAGTCTTGCTGGAAAATGAAGTCAGCATCCCCATAGAGCTCGTCTGTGGAAGAAAGCATGAAGTGCTCCAAAATCTCCTGGTAGACGGCTAAGTTGCATTAGTGAAATAAATGAACTTTTGCACGATATTCTAATTTTATAAAAATGTAAAATGATCAATTTGCTGGTCACTTACCACTTTCTACCTGCAAGACAGCCATCAGAAGATTCACCGTGTTTATAAAGGCCACTAGACCATTGTCACCGTTTTCCAGCTATGCAGAGAATATATTTATGTTCATTCATATTTGCAGATCACATTATCCGTTTTGCCTTTTTCAGATGTAATGGACTGAATCTGTGAGAGATGAGCCACGTTAAATTTGTGTCACCTGACTCACTTGGGCCAAATTCAGAATGGGAACATATTGGTCAGGGCCATTTTGGAGATGTTTTCAAAGTGAAGCACAAGGTTCTCCACATACATGTAGCAGTGAAACAACTTAAGTAAGTATTACCCATGAGGTCAATGCCACTTTTATTATTGGGATAATCTGTTACAGAAGTGTTCTGGATTGTCATATTTTCCAGTATACACAATCTCAGATCAACTCAATTGTGTTTATGTTTTTACACTGTGATCTTGACAGCTTTGCAATGTCATGTCTGAAAAGATGACCTGGTGGAGGTTATCGAGGACTGGAATTTGGGAAAACAGCACTGGAGAACACATAGGACTAATAGGATCCACTGACCCAATCAAGCAAACCCACTACATGGGACATCCATAAAATATTTTAAATATTACCATAGACATAGAGTTAATTGCCTGCCACCCACCCATATTTTTCGTGTTCTTAAAGCTTAGAAATAGTTTTTGTCTTTGCCCAATGGGTAAGTATGCACAGTATACTTGCACTTTAGAGCATACTTACCTTAAAAAAGTGTGCCCTTCTCCAGTATTGTTGGATCAATCTTCGGTCCTCTGCACTGTCCTGTGCCTCCACCATCTCCGCCGCATATTCTGGCTTCTGGAAAGTCCTATTCGGCCATTGGGTGGCCACTGACAATGTAACTCCTGCACATGTGTACAGGAGCTACATCCTGCCTATTCACGGCATCTTAGAGATGGAGTAACTGGGTTGAGTGTGTACTCTGTATGGCGCATGTACTGTACAGTGTACACAAAAAAATTGAAAACCACTGGGGGAGAGAGTGGAAGCATCCCCCCCAGTGATATATTTTTATTTTCTTCTGCTTTGATTTTAATTATTTACTTCCGCTTTAAAGTAAAGTAAACTAAGTACTATAACAAATAAGAAACAAATTAAAATATTGCCTTTGGTTGGCTATGACAAATTATTGGGGTAAAATATCGATAAAATGAAAGTGTATCTAATCACAAGAATAAAAATGTAATATATTGCAGCTTAACACTCCTTAGATAAAGTGGTAGTTTTCTTTGTTCTAGGTTTCTTCCTATATTTTCATCTGGTGATCCTCCCAGTAACAAACTTCCTGTCCTAGAGTGATAGCAGCCGAGTGAATAACCCAGCCGAAGTGAAGTGAGCCGAACGCTGTTTGGCTATTCACTTGAGGCTTGTATGGCTGATTTCAGCCGTACATCGGCTGCACTTCGGTCAGCCGAACATGCTTTGCATGTTCGGCTGAGCCAAAGTGCAGTAGGACTTCCACTCAGCCGATCCAACATCTGGGCCGAGCCGAAGCTCCGGTAGCTCACTCGCTGCCGTTCGCCCCTATTCTCATAGGGGCCAAATGGCAGTGAGTGAATAGCCGAATGACGCCGAGCAGCATTCGGCTCGGCGATTCTGTTTGTTACCTCCGTGGTACCGAGCAAAATAGAAAATCAATTAAAAGGGTTTTTTTAAAGTTTAAAAAAATATTTTAAAAAATGTAAATAAATAGTACATTTAAATAAATAAATAAAGATTTTTTAAAGGAGAAAAAAAAAACAACAATTAGGTGGAGCTAGCAGTGACAGCCTGCTCCGCCCAACTGTTTCCTTTTGGCCGTCACCTGCTAGAGTGTTCTAGCAAGTCCCAGCCAATGAATAACAACTTGGCGGAGCCGGCCGTGACGCCATGGCCGGCTCCGCCCAGCTGTTATTGTTTAATGACAGATCAGCGTCCCCAGGTCATTTGGAGACGCTGATCTGTCATTACAACTGGGCGGCCCAGCTGTCATTTGCAAGGTGTACGGCCCCACTTCGGCTGTCACTTCGGCTCAGTCGAGTCGAAGCATATGCCTTCGGCTCGGCTGAGCCACTCGGCGGGGCTGCTCGGCCGCCTTCGGCAGCTGTACAAGCTTTTTTGCACGTATCACACAGATATAACAAAATGCTTTCAATGGTATATTCAACAGACCAAAAGGGAGCAAGTAAGAGACACTCATTGTTACATAGCTAGTCAGGTTGAAAAAAGACAAGTATATCAAGTTCAACCAATAGAAAAAAAATATAAAATAATTGTTAGGATTTTCATACACTTTATTTAATACATTAGCTGATTATAAGACTTTAAACCCAAAATAAAGAGCTCAGCCATTTTGACTTAAGCATCCAAAATGTTAAATCAAATTGCACTTGAGTCCTTTAAATCAACCTGTAAACCAATGTTATGGAAGTTTCTCATCTGTACACGTTGGTAAACAAATCCTTCAAATCCGTCATATGATTGCTGGCCATTACAGGGTCATATGTTGATTTTTATGAAAGTTTATGACCTAATATGTTACAAAACAGTAGAATGGTACTTGTTTCATAAATAATTTGAAAGTTAGCAGGGAAACAAGATGGATTTAATTCTATAATTTCAAAGGTATCCAAGAAGGTAAATGGGGACCATAGCTTTTAAATTATATTAATAATGTTTTGGAGAATAAAGATGATTTATGATATACTATATGCAGCATTTTTCCTTTCATATTATTTTGTACCAGCCAGTTTTTCTTTCTCAAACCTAGGTTTCATTTCACCTCATATATCTATTTGCATTGACAGATCTATCTACAATATATTCTCACATACACATTCATAGGCTCCTAGAGGAGGATGCACATCCAAATTGTGAAGTTCTATTTTTGGTGTGTCCTGTGTGTGGCACTGAATAAATGTTAATCTATTATGCAGTCTCCCTTGATAGAATAAAGATGTTTCTATCAATGAGGTTATGATCATGCAGCTTATGCACAGTAGGTAAATGTACAATTGCATAAATGTATGCATGTTCTTAAAGAAGCTTTCCATGACAGCATTATCTGTCATTGAGATACTCATGGGGTCAAGAGCCAAGTAGGAAGCCTTCTACCCACACCAGTATGGTATAGAAATGTGGAAATGCAGATTCACTGTAATAAATAGAGAAAACATTGGTCCAGCTAAGTAAGCAGTACTCATCACTGTTCCTCTGTTTAATTCCAACCAGAAATAAATAATAGTTTGACGTAGGGATGCACCGATACTTTTCGAGTACCAGTGCAGATGCTTGGCATTTTTATGAGAACTACCAGGGTTGCAGCGGTTGCAGCTGGGACCTGGCTCTGGTGCTCCACCACTGTCCTGAAATCATATTGTTTTAGAAAAACTGTCACATGACACTAAACAAAAATGTATCAGTACTTGTAAGTACTTGGGCAAGTATCAATACCTTTACTTGTAAAACTGGTATTGGTGCATCCCTTTATTTATATTTATGAAAACAAAATCATACATTAAAGCAGAGATGTACAAATCCCAGGAGTTCCGTGTGCTCCTTAACAATGACAGCTGCCTCCTAACTTTTGAATTTTTCTCTAGTCTAGTCTTGGAGCTCAAAAAGTATCTGTACTTGTACTTGTACTTGTACCGAGTACTGCACTTGGTATCGGTGCATCCCTAGTTTGAAGTTATGGATAGTCTTCACTAGAATATTGTGTCTTCTCATTAAAATGATAATTTAAATAATAAATTAATAGGAATGATGACCAAATTGGTTCACCTAAACCCAAATTCTCAGTGAATACGGTTGATTCCTGGCCATCAGATACTCATGGATCATTCCCCTTTTACCTTGATGAATGAAGCAATAAAAAAGTCATTTAAACCCTTTTGAACTAACTTATACAGCCTGCTGACTTCTTGTCTGTTTGGCGATCAAGGATTATTAGAACACAGTGCATGCCCTTATGTGTGTGTTTTGTCTTAATAATGTAGGACTTTAGTGGAGTCCTAATAAGGACACGGGACTAATATCCTCTGAATGAAAGGAGGATATGGAAAGCGATTGGGTACAGGTCTGAGGCAGATCACAGGTTTGGATTTGCTGGATTGCCCTGCATAGACAAAAAGGCAAAAGTAAGCAGATTCACCCATCACTGTTTGTTAGAAAAAGACACAAGTATAACAGATCTGCATGGAACATTAAATACACTGTTTTGCCTGATGCGGAGGACCCTGAGTGGCCCTGAAAACATCGCTGTTATAAGATAGTTTGAGCATATGTCAATAATAGCATATGTCAATAAAGGTGTATTGATCACGAATATTAAATACTGAGAACAAATAGAAAACATTTCAGAATCAGAGCCGAAATACTCATTAAAACTGAGCTATTAAAGGATAACTATGGGGTTCTATCTTTTCTTTATTATTGCATTCCTAAATTTCGGTGTCAATCCCGTTTCCCTCCTGAGTGTATGCTGAGGAGAAAAAAGTGTTCAGCACTTCGGCCCTCTCCTTGTCGTTTATAACCAACTTCCCATTTTTGTCCTTTATTGGGCCTATCTGCTAATTTCTCCCCTTTTTACTGTTTATATAATGGTAAAAATTTTTTTTTTTTTTTTTTTTTTACAATATGTTCTCCATCTGCCCCGCCTACTTCACGTGTAGTGTGCAGTGCATTGATCCCCTCCCTCCCCAGTGACATCATTCACCATATATGGACTTGCCCATTTGTAGTAAATGCTAAAGAGAGAGCCCTCTTTCCCCTCTCTCATCAGCGATCCCCAGTGATTTTAGCATGTCAGTGTCACACAGGGCAGGGAGAGAGAGAGAGAGAGGCGGGGGGGGAGCCTATTCACCATATATGGACTTGCCCATTTGTAGTAAATGATGGAGAGAGAGAGGGCCTCTCTCTCTCTCTCTCTCTCTCTCTCTCTCTCTCTCTCCTGTGTGACACTGACATGCAAAAATCACTGGGGATCGGGGATATCACAGAGATATATTCGTGGACGCGCAGCAGCTCTCAAGAATCACTGTCAGTCACAGTGACGAAGATCAGTGGGGAGGATCCCGACAGTATTGGCTAATAGGAGTAAATTACACGATTTACTTATTTAGCCTAAGGAATGCAATAATAAAGAAAAGACAGAACCCCATAGTTCTCCTTTAAAATGTTACCAATTATCATTTTAGCTAATACTTTGCTTGAATCTGATGTACAATCCAACATATATACAAAAGATATTCATCCACACTATGCTCCCTATTATTCTGACAGTCCAATTCAGATCGAATAAGAACCCCCCCCCCCCCTTCCATGCTGTCATAATGACATCAGAGCCCGCCATATATGAAAAAACTGTGAGATAACAACAAACATATCCATATGAAGTGAGATACAGCATGTAAATGCACTGTAACATACAGTATATACATGTATATACAATGCTTTCCCCCGATAGACATAGAATACAGCATACCTCTCCTGTAGAAATAAGCAGCAGAAGTGGTAACTGAACGCCTCTCAAGACTAATGTCCAGATCTATCACATAGACTTTGTTGAAAGCAGATCACCTAGTCATAAACATTATTGACTCAACCCATACCTTCCAACTGTCCCTCATTTGGAACCAAATCTCTCTGTCCTTCTTTCCTCCTCAGTTGTCCTTCTTTTTGGTCTGATGTACAGATATCTACAATTTACAATTTAACTACCAAAAGTGTTATTCTGCACTAAAGCCTTCATGCTATTTCTTAATAATCTGGTTTGCTATTTTGAAAAGCCAGTGTAAAAGAAAATTAATGGTGAAAAAAAAATTCAACCAATCATTTTTGGCATGTACATTTTTAATGGTCCACATAACTGGGCGTGTGGCAGGGGTGTGTTCAGTACCTATATACATTTTCCTGGAAAGTGTTCTTTTTCATGTCAGAAAGTTGGAAGGTACGTTCAACCTCCGGGTCTTGCCATCGCAAGACCAGGGATTCTGGTCAACATGAGAAGTTCCACAAGGCTGCTTTAACTAGAGAACAGAGAGACCTCAGATAATGCTCTGTATATGATGTATGCAAATAACATCATATACAGTCTGTGATCGAGTGCCCAACTTTTCATAGGGGGTGACACCAAACTGTCAGTCATTTGGTGTCACCCCTCCAATGGTGGCAACCTGGTGCGGGCCGCGCAACCCTTGTGACGCCACTGCAATTAACAGGAGTGAACTTCTCGGTAACGCCATTTTTACATGGCAGGCACAGGAACATTAATGAATGCACCACCCACTGGGTGTTCCAAACATCATATAAAGTAAAACTGCCATTACTCTGAAGTCCTTTCTCCCTGGAGTCCTGGAGTCTTCCTCTTGTAATTCACATTCTCTGGTGGTGAAATAATTACTGTCATTTCAAATTACATAAACCTGGAAGATTCTCCACTGGAGAATGTTTGGTGAAAGTTACATTCACTACTTATAAATATACCCCAGAATTTTTAGCTGCGTTTGTCTTTTTAACCCTTGCAGTGGGGCTACCCCCGCACTGCAAGGGTTTGCTGCTCGTTTGCTTCTATATTCTAAAGAAAAAAAAGTTATACTTACCCAATCATTCCAGCCGGTTTGTTCTTAGACCGCGTACCTAGAGCCTCTCACACCCTCCTCTGCAGTGAACAACGAATCCTTGTGTCATCACACTGTATACTGTAAACATTCCATCTGTGCAGAAGAGGAGACACGCTTCAGTGACCGGGGAAGCAGCGGGTTGGTGTTCGGGTGAGTATAACTTTTTTTAGCACCTAGACACAAATGATCAGTTAACCCTTGCAGTGTGGGGGTAGCCCCACTGCAAGGGTTAATAAAACTTTTCCCTGGTGTTCTTCTTTAATCATGCTTTATCGTTACCTTTCATAGAGATCCATCATATCGTCTAGAGGAACTCCTCGATGAGGCTGAAAAGATAAAACATGCTTCAGCCAACGACTATGTAATCCAATTGCATGGGATAGTGAAAGTACCTCCTTGTATCATAATGCAGTGGATGGAGTATGGCTGCTTGGGCACACTAATGGAGAGAGTTAAAGTGATTCCATGGCCCTTTAAATATCGCATTCTCCACGAAGTGGCATTGGGTATGAACTGGCTGCATCTCCTTTCCCTTTTACACCTGGATCTCAAGCCAGGCAATGTTCTTCTGAATGACGCTCTCCATATACGGGTGAGATTAATCTCTTGTGGATAAGCACTAATCACTGCATTAGAACTGTTCATAATTATTGCACCATTTAATAGCATTTTAGGTGTCACCTGTTATAGTTTACTGTACACAGATAATTACTTGGATACATGTAAATGACATTACATAAATGTGCAACCAAGTTGAAGATACATCAGCTACAAAAGTCATTTTAATATACTTATATGATCAATCACATAATGGAATGTTAAACTTGTGTATTTTAGTTCCTGCTGTTACAATATCAATCAATAATAATCATTTCCCTTATTATACTGGCATAAAGCTGTCATGATTTAGGCAAGTATAATTGTGAACGTGTCACTATGTACACAATGACATACTGTATGGTCTTAATGAATACTATCCCTTGAATTCATAGGGTGTCTACGACATTACTGCTTTCTGGGTCAGCTCCCTGCTCACTGAACTGAGGTGATTATTATGCTGATTCACTGTCTAGTAAAGAGGACTGGAGCAGGAAAGGTGGCATAAAAAGCTGAATTGCTAAACCAGAAAGATTAAAGCTGAACTCCAGGGAAAAATACATATCCGTTCAGCACTGGGGTAGTATACCCCAGTTAAATGCTCGTTTTGTTTAGGGGGAACAGAAAAAGCAACTATACTTACCTTATCCCTTAATTTCCTGGCAGTCAGCGCTCTTCTCTCTCTGATGCTCCAGATGGTGGCTGGACCTTCAGCATCCTCATTTACATGGAGTGAGTAGTAGGCAAGTATAACTACTTTTCATGTTCCCCCCAAGACAAAACTAGCATTTCATTTAGTTTAGCTTTAATTTAATAAAATATATGTAAATCACAAGGCTGGCGTTACAGTAGTAATACCATAGTAGACAAAAGTGTATGTATTTCAGCTGTGTATTTTACTGTTTGCCAGTAGTTACCCTTAAGTATGTATTCAGATATGCTCCATCAATTTTTTAATTACTGCCAATGTTCATATCCACTTCAGTGTCCGTCCTTTTACCATATCAACAAAAAAACAGAAATACACAAAGATAAAACAATCAATATATTTATTTATTTTTTTCAAAACGACGCTGTCCGTGTGATACAATTAGAGTGTTTTCTATTTAACTAAGTCATGCCAATTCAAACTACCCAGGTCTGGTAAGAGACTCTTAACACATGCTCAATAATGTGCGTTGTGTTAAGGCATTTAAATGGGCGGTCTAAAAGACCACAATGGATCACAGATTGTATCTGAAACATTTGTGCTTGCACAGAGCAACACAACTCATGGTAGTGTGTTACTGTGCATTGCGGTTCACTGCAGTGCAGATGCGTTGTGAAGGTGTGTTGCTGTGCCTTTCACAGTGAATGACACTGCAGGGCAATAACGTGCACATTACAGCAGTGGTGTAAATGAGCCCTTATAAGCTTTGTATAAAATGCTTAGGGGGTGATTCTCAGTTTAAGAAAAATGTGGGCATGAAATGCTCTAATAGGACCTCCCCCTTGAGAAAACATTGAAGCCAGTAAAAGGGCTTGCACACAAGATATTTAGTGACTAATAAAACACTTAAGCCCATGACACACAGCACACAAAGCCATTTTTCATCTCGGCACGCGAGCTCTCGCAAGCTGACGTGCCGAGGAGAAAATAACATGACACACTGCTTGCGAAGGCAGCCCGCGACCGCTCCGCGCTGCTTCACGTGCAGTGTGTCACAGCCTTTAATGTGCTTAAAACAGATAACAGAAAATTTGTTTACAACATTTAGGGGTCTATTTTAAAAGCACAATATGGCTGTATAGCAGTATGCTTTATGAATGTTCCTTACTCTCCGCTCTGCTGACTTTAAAAGTACTAGTTCAATAAAAATGAATGAGTTGTTAAATGAGAAATATTTAGGGAGAGTAAAATGTATTCTTCCCAATACTTAGAACCGGTGCGGGACACTGCAGCTGTCACACGCCAGCACTATATACCGAGAGTTGATTGATCATGCAATTGCTGATCGCTCAGCTCTGCAGAGATGGGCGACTGTCAGGTTTTTATTTGCCGGGGGTTCTTCTTTTAGCTTAAAGAGAACCAATTGGGAGAATATAAATAGTATGACCACATACTGTACATCTTACTTTTACATTTACCCCTCCAGCACATCCCACAGTTGCACAATAATCTTAAAGGAGAATTATGAGGCGAGTGATTTTCACTCAGTCTCATAATCTGAGCAGACCTGTGACAATGAAACTGTCACAGGTCGGCTCAGTAGATCGGGAAGTGAGCGAACACATACCGTCACTCGCTCACTTCTCGATCTATCCCTGCAGAGATCCGTGACTGTCACTCACGGCTCCCTGAAGGGATTCCCCCGCTCCCCTGTCCGATACCCCAGCGCTGACTGGCGGAACGGAAGGGGGAGGGGCGGGCACAGCTGGCTCTGCCTCTGGATAGGCAGAGCAAGCTGTCAATCCCGGCGTCCAATCTGCGGCGTCTCAGTATACCGCGAGCTGCGAGAACGTTAGTTTGTGTTCTCCCGTGACCCTTAGGAGAACTTTGGGGAAAAGCCCTGACCCGATAGTTCTCCTTTAAAGAGAACGAGTTGGGGGGATATAAATAGTCAGCATGACCACATACATCTTACCATTACATTCACCTTTCAAGCACCTCCCAGAGCTTTCTGATGTTGACATGCAAAAGACACCCTTGCTACTTGATTAGCAATATGCTTCCACTCCTGCATTCCACTTGGAGTTGCGTAGACTTAGTAATAGTGATAGGCATTCTGTAGAAAGTGAAAAACAGTGGGCAGATGCTGTAGGGGAAAATGGAAAGTTAAGTGTCGTTTTTATACATATACAGTATATTGTCTATGTATGTATATATATAGTGAAGGCAAAGGGTTAAATCCTCTGTTAGATTTTAATTGCTGCCTGTGTCCCCAATACATTTCCTATTCCTTTCTGTCCAATTAAGGAGCTTTTAAGCCCATGTCTGGGATAAAATAATAACCTCTCTCCCACCCCCTAACTGATAGTTGTCAGTAAAAAACCCATTTTACTTATCCAGAGCCACAGCCACATAATCCTCCAGTACAGAGTTTCCTCTCTCTATTTGTTTACTTTTGACAGGGTCCATCTTTGGGTGTCTAGCTGCATGATATAGACACTTCTGATTGGCTGCTCAATGGCAGGGTCCTCTCAGGATCCAGAGTGAAGTAATTTCAAGGGGACCAGTCTGAAGGACCATCTGCTGCACTAGACTAGCACTAGACTAGTAGTCCACCGCACCCAGAAATTATGCTAGCAAGGGACCTTGAGGGGGGAATTTGGGGAGTATAACTTGCAGGATGGGTTTGGAGAGAGTGGGAAGGATGGGAGAGGAGGCAAGTTTTATCAAGCACACACAGTATTAAAACTTTACAGATGTTCTAACCCACCTCCACTGAATCCAAGCTAGCTTTATATTTCCTTCACAGGCTTTGCCTTTAGCATTTGTGGAAGCATTAAGGCGACAGGCCATTTTTAACATGGTGCATTGCAAAGCGAACAACTCATTGTAGGATCAGGTACATTGAGCTATTTAGCTCAGTAAGCTTTTTCTTTGCCCTCTTTGAGTGCATTATGGATATGAATGCAATATATTACATACAGGGCTTTCTACACAGTGTGCTGTTTAAACTGAGCATAGCCACTGCTGGAAGATTCAATAGTTGATTGATGCTGATTTTAGGTGGGCACAAAGAAACCTTTTCAAAGTTGGCAGTATTGGTGACTATAGGACTGTAGTCAAAATCAGGAATCTGAATAAAATTGTCCTTTAAGATTCTGATCTTTCCTTTCAGATTGGAGATTTTGGTTTGTCCAGATTTACAAGTAGCTCCACTGCCCTTGGTGATATTGAAGCAGTTGGGGGAACGTTAGCATACATGCCTCCTGAAGCATTTCAAGAGGGATACAAACCAAGCGAATCCACTGATATTTACAGGTACTCAAAGTTCTTATTTTTTTTCATAAAAAACATAAACCTTCCCCCTTTGCAGGGTACCTGTCCTTGAACTTAAACCTGTGGGTATAGAAGTATAGGCGCTGCAATTTCTGGATTCTTTATCAAGGCAAAGTATCCAAGGGCTGTAACACTGATCGCTACCTTTCGAATGAAATCTATTGGCTTGAAACAAGTATGCAGATGGAAAGTCAGACTTTTCTAACTTCCCTATATGAATGTTTGTTTCAGGTTAGTACTTGAAAGGCAAGTATAAAGTGGTTTGTGGAAGGTGGCCTAAATGTGCAAGGTCGCGGTGTCTCTTTAGTGGCTCTTTCAAGCTGGAATCCTAAGATTTTCACATTGGATTGTACAACCCCGCAACACAACCACCCCAATACCACCCATACAAACTGATCAATAATGATAAAGAGGAAACCAAAACAAGTGTGGGAAATGATGGCCCCAGCCCTTTATTTGACTTTAAAACAGAATATTATAAATGTAATCTTTATAATACACATAATAAAGTTAAAGCTACAACAATGTGCAAAGGTAGGGAAAAAGCAAAGGTTGGGAAAGGTAACAGCTTGACTGAAGATCCAAACTGGTACAAGACCAGATGTTGTAGACCAATAAAGAAACAAACAATAGACTTCTTGGTTGCCTAATTTCCATCCACATTTCAACTTCTAATCACTTCTACAGCTGCCTATTAGATCAAAGCCACAGCAGTTTGGTGGCAAAATCATCCAGTTATCACTGTTCCTGTGACTTTGCATCTGTAAAAAGAGGTCAAGACCTGAAGGATAAACAGAGAAACCAGCAGAGAGAACAGACATTATTCTGTACCTTTAATATACTCATTCAAATAAAGAAGTTAACTCTAATGCCAATACAGGAAGGAAAGGAGAGGGTGGTTGTGGGGGTGACAAATCCCATGGGAAAACTGAAGATGAGTGGATCACCAGCACACACATGAAAGCTTCTTTTTTCTGCTTTGTTTACACTGTCACATAATGTCGCAAACAACGTTTCTGAGTCACGCAGGGCCCCTTCATCAGGTGGTTCACATGGGAACACTTCACTTGCTCTATGTCCCTAGAAGCACTGCACCACACACACACAGCCTTCACTGGCAGAAAACTTGACTTTTCTCTGCTACAGTTAACTAACGTATTTTCCCTCTTTTATCCTGTGACTAAACAGTGAAAGAAGAAGCAGCAGAATGATTAGCTCATCTCTCTGAATCACTCTGCGCTTTCTTCCTATCAGCATGTTCCTAGCTAGCACATGAGCACTGCAGCCCAGCTGACTTGCTCCTTGAGCTGCTTCTCTCACTCCTTGTCTGTGCTCTATTGTAGAGGAGAATGCAAGCTTATGCCAAGTCAAATTCAAGTACTTTACATTAAAAAATAAACATATGTAACTGTGTGGTAACAAACACAGAGCTGCATTAATTTGTCTTTTGCATCTGCCTGGAGCTCAGCGTTAAAGGAGAACTATGGGGTCAATGTTTTTCCACATAGTTCTCCTCCGGGTCACACGGGGACATAAACTAGCGTCCTCCCATGACCCAAAGCTCATTATACCGCGAGCTACAGCTCCTGGGAAACACTGAGACCGCCGCAGGCGGGACAGATCCCGACATTACTGTCGAGATCCAACCAGCTGCGTGATTGAGGCAGAGCCAGCTGTAACCGCCCCCTCCCCCATTCGTTCCTCCAGTCAGCGCTGCAGGATCGGAGGGGGGAAATCCCTGCAGGGAGCCATGAGTGACAGTCACGGCTCTCTGCAGGGAGATGATCGGGAAGTGAGCGAGCAATGGTATGTGTTCGCTCACTTCCCCATCTATTGAGCCGACGTGTGACAGTTTCATTGTCACACATCAGATCGAACTATGAGGCTAAGTGAAAGTCACTCACATCATAGTTCTCCTTTAAGTCTTCTGTTTGTTTTGATGTAAAGGTTAAAGTGTAATTTCAAATTAAATAAGTAAAGTGCTGGATTGAGACCAAAGGGTAGCCTTGACATACAAATGATGCTAGGGTCCTTTGGAACTAAGTGCTCAGGAACAGGCACTAGCAAAATATTGAGAGCCAACTGTATTATTTTTATCAGCTGCGGGATAATTTGGGATTTCATTAAATAAACCTGTGCTGAGAGATATATTGAGGTTTGCATTGATAACTCCTTCTTCAGCTAGTGTTCGGATTGTCCTAGCTGTCACTATAATTATTTCAATTCTTAGAATGCACATCAGGAGCTCTGACTTCACATACTGCTTGTATGCGAGACAAGTAGGTGCACTGCACTATTGGGACAAGTAGGTGGTCTCTACCTCCCAACAAACAGGTTTTAGGAGTCCATTGGAACCGGTTCACTAGTGCATCTACAGCTGGTTAATAAGTCTAATCTAAGGCAATAAAAAGGCACTAACCAATGAAATGGAGCATAAATAAATCTAAATAACCTCTTAATTCCAATTGTGCTAATACATATAACAATATGAATTCATGTGCTAAAAATATATAAGTCACTTGCTTAGTAGTAACTGTATACCAATACCAATCAAAAAAGTGCAAAAAGGTGCAAACGTGCAATATTAGCATATAAATATATTATATATATATATATCATATATAAAAGACCATTTCAAAACAAGACATTAATGTACATGTATATTTGTACAATATATATACACATACATTTGCATAATGTTTATCTTCTATCCATTACTTTTTTCTTTCTTCCTTTCAGTTTTGCCATCCTATCCGCTGTGGTACTTAAAGGTGATGACCCTTATCCAAGTAAGATCATACACATATACACAAGCATTACTTTGTCTTGTGGTTTGCTGGACAACCAACATGTTTGATTAATAGCATAGTGATATAAAGGGGCTAATTTACTATTGCCATCACAAAATTGCTAGGGCTACACCAGGCCTCAAAATTTCCACTCGCCCTCTCGCAATTGGCGAGTGAAAATTGCGTGGGGGCGAGTGGAAACTCATCGAGGAGCGCCGCCGGCGGGACCAGAGATGGGACATTACCGCCGCGGCGATTGCTTACTTCTGTTCTCTCTTCTCATCTGCCGCTGCAGCTACAGAGCAGCCGACAAGGAGAAGACAGGACACGAGCGAACGATCGCCGTGGCGGTAGTGTCCCATCTCTGGTCCCACCGGCGGCGCTCCTCGATGACATCCGCTGTCTTCTGCAGCTTCCTCCGCCAACCTCAGCTACCAGGCTGGGAGGAAGATTGCAGAGACGGTGAGACCGGCCAGCCAGAAAGTTATGCAGCAGGGGGA